ACATCTATCTGTGGATAATACATACATAATTGACACACCAGCATCTTGCGACTTCACTTGCTTTGCTGTGAATAGTCCTGTAAATGATCATGTTTCTTTTCTTATTTTAATTTTAACAATAGAAATGATGTCTGACATATCAGAAGATGAGAGTGCAGATGATAATAAAGATGAAGATTCAGATGATGCCTCGGAAAGTGATGACGACGATGATGACGAAGATGAGGACGAAGATGAGGATGATAAAGACAGTCTCACAATAGGGGAATTAGTTGAAAAGGCTGCTTCAAAACAACAGGCAATTAAGGTAGTCTATCTTACATCGTCCATGTTTTTTCATCTAGGGTACCCCAATAATCCAAAAACTTGATATTTGAGTGACTCGCGGACCCAATTAAGAAATTATTTAATATCCTCTCTGAATAATATCAGTTGATATGTGTTTTATAAAACTTGCCACACCCACATTCTGCTATATTCAATGTATGTATTGCGGCATTTGGACAGTTATTAGTGGATGACCTCATTAAAGTTTAATTCCTACTTTGTATGATCTGCAGAAAACCTCTCACTGATAAACATCATAAAGGCTTTGAATTTTGTAGAATTGATGAGAAATCTTATTCAACAGTATCCTGAAATCACTTAGCAAATACTTCAACAAAAATAAGACAGTCTTGAGTATTAACACCAATAAAAAGTACTTTTACTTTGTGATAAAACACTACAATTGTTGCCATATCCAGTGAATTTTTTTTTCATGGTAATGACAATAATTAGTGGCAGTTGTTCTGCATATACAATGTAATACAAAGTGGGAATACAACTTTAATTTTTTTGACATTGTTGTTCCATTTGCAGCACATCATTATTATGTAGTATGTTGATACTGTTTATTGTTGGAGGAAGGTGATAATACCACAGCGAAGTTGTTATGTTATTGATTTATTTTATTTGCAATGTTTGGATGTACCTGGTACATGTAGGCAGTCTTCTTTATAGCTGAGTTATACATGTGCTGATAGTATGCATATTGTATGTATTATCAACTGTTCTGTATAGAGGTGTCACTGTTATTTTGTTTGCGTTTGCGTTTGCAGAGTTCCTCCAGTGATGATAAACCATATGCTAAAATGAAAGTCTTGATATGCTGTGTCTGTCTGGGAGATAACAGGTAAGAGATGATTATCCCTATCTCTTTGAGTG